CCAATTCAAGTCTAGTAGAGGTTTATTCTAGCCTGCTTTCCTTCCTTCTTTTATTTTCTTTGTCTGATAGTAAGAAACCCTTCTGATGTTAGGTACAATATATTTAGTTATTTGTTAAATCCTAGAATACACCTAGTTTCAAAATATACTGTGAAAAGCAAATTTACTAACTATATTATAATATTTGTGTGCAGAGAATGTATATGTTTAAAAACTGTTTTTATGTCTGTTTCCTTTATAAATCCACACACCAAGTATAAGAGGAGACCAATGAGCGTTGACTAAATATGCCATCCAGTTTGAGTAGTTGGAAATTGATCTAAAGTGAAATCTAGCAATAATTATTATTTAAAGTTTCTCTGTATATGATTTAATGTTCGGTACCTTGGTTTGAATTTTAAGTAATATGAACTTATTAGGAAGTAACCTTTTTCTGTGGCCTACTCCCCTTTCTTATAAAGAGCTCATTTGAATTATGAAAAAATATTGATGTAACAATTGGATTTCTAATACTCCAAACTCTTTTTAAAATATCATGCTTAGTATAACTTCAATTAGATAACACAGTCAAATAATATTTTATTGAATCTTATGTTACCCTGCTTCTTCATTATAGAGTATCAGTAGAAATAAAGATATTGTGAAGATTGGTTGCTCATTGTCTGAAGTTTGTCCCCATGCCAACTCAGTTTTTGGAAATCTTGATCCAAAAAAGGTGAGCCATATTTTTGAATATAATTATTTTTTTCTCTCTTGTTAGCATCTTATTTGTGTAGGAATCTTATATGTTCCTGTATCTTAGATTTTATACTCCTTTGGATTTTTGGTATATTTGCATGGAAGAGGCAGATTTTTAGAATTTGTATAAATTACTGTCTTAGTAAATTTATTCATGCAAATACACAGGTGGCCCTTATACACATGGAAAGATGCGTAATATCATTAGTTGTTGTTGTTAGATGCTGTTGAGTCAATTCCAACTAATAGCAACCTTGTGTACAACAGAATGAAATGCTGCCCCGTCCTGCGTCTCAAAATGCTTGCTATGCTTGAGCCCATTTTTGCAGCCACTGTGTCAGTCTGTCTCATTGAAGGTCTTCCCCTTTTTCTCTGACCCTCCACTTTACCAAGCATGATATCCTTCTTTAGGGACTAGTTCCTTCTAGCCACATTGACCAAATTAGGTGAAGCAAAGTCTGGCCATTCTTGCTTCTAAGGAGCATTCTGCTGTACTTTGTCGAAGATAGATTTGTTTGTTCATATGGCAGTTCATGGTATTTTTGGCATTCTTTGCCAGTACCAGAATTCAAAGACATCAATTCTTCTTTGGTCTTCTTTATTAATTGTTCAGCTTTCACATGCATATGAGGTGATTGAAAATACTATGGCTTGGGGTAGGCACACCTTAGTCTTCAAAGTGACATCTTTGCTCTTCAACACTTTAAAGAAGTGTTGTACAGCAGATTTGCCTAGTGCAATACGGCGTCAGATTTCTTGACTGCTGCTTCCATGTGTGTTGATTGTGGATCTAAGTAAAACGAAGTTTTTGACAACTTCAATCTTGTCTCCATTTATCATGATGCTGCTTATTGGTCCAGTTGTGAGGATTTTTGTTTTCTTTATGTTGAAGTAATCCATACTGAAGACTATACTCTTTGATCTTCATTAGCAAGTGCTTCAAGTCCTCTTCTCTGTTAGCAACCAAGGTTGTGTCATCCACATATAGGTTGTTAATGAGTCTTCCTCCAATCCTGATGCTGTATTCCTCTTCATGTAGTCCAATTTACTGGGTTATTTGCTCAGCATACACATTGGATAAGTATGGTGAAAGGATACAACCCTGACACACTCGCTTCCTCATTTTAAACCATCCATTATTCCCTTGTTCTCTTTGAATGACAGTCTCTTGGTCTATGCATGGGTTCCTCATGAGTACATTTGGTGTTCTGGAATTCCCATTCTTCTCAATGTTATCCATAGTTTGTTATGATCTACACAGTCAAATGCCTTTGCATAGTCAATAAAATACAGAAGAAAAACAAAGTAGGAAGTCTCACACGCCCCGATCTCAAAATCTGCTATACAGCCATAGTAGTCAAAACAGCATAGTATTGGTATGATGATAGACAAATAAACCAATAGAACAGAATCGAGAACCCAGAAATAGACCCATCCACCTCTGGACAGCTGATCTTTGACGAAAGGCCAAAATCTATCAAATGGGGAGAGATAGCCTCTTTAACAAATGATGCTGGCAAAATTGGATATCCACTTGCATAAAAATGAAACAAGACCCATACCTCCCCCAAAAATGAGCCCAAGTTGGATCAAAGACTTAAATGTAAAATCCCAAAGCATAAAGTTCATCAAAGATAAAATAGGGAGAAACCTTAGGGGCCCTAATTTATGGCATAAATAGATTATCAAGCATAACACAAAATGCACAAGCAGTAAAAGAGACAGTAGATCACTGGGAACTTTTAAAAATTGAATTTTTATGTGTATCGAAAGACTTCTCTAAAAGGGTAAAAAGAGAATATATAGTTTGGGAAAAAATATTTGTCTATGACATATCTGTGGTGACATGTAGACGTGAGTTTTGAGGCTGAGCCTCTGGTGTTTAAAACCCAGTGAGATTCACCTGGTGCACAGGTAACAACCCAGCGTATAAACTGAGACAGACTAGGAAGAAGGAAGAGGCCGTCCACTTCTGAAAGAATTGACCAGGGGAAACCTTATGAATAGCAAAGAAACACTGTTTGGTACATTACC